AATCTGTTCTCTGTTGATGAGAATGTTGTTTTGCATGGAAGGTATTATAACCATAGCAAGGAAACAATATACAACAGGATCAATGTAAAGCTGATGTCCTCCCATGTAAACTATCACATAATTCACAATAAAGCATTAAAAAAAAAAACTAAAAACAAAAGAAGGGCCTACTATCATCATAATTGTACATAGTACAGTCCTTTTCAATAATACTCTCTCCCTGCCTTGTCAGCCATCAATGTCACCTTTCAACTCTGACCTCACTAACCTTTGAACCATTATGATGGCTCTTCTTTACATAGTGTAAAAAGTTCCAAAGTTTGCATGATGTAGGTATTAATTCTGCATACATCTATTATAAGGAACTGAAAGGCCATTGTAGAGTAACCCTAGAAGAATAATGCTAATAACGTTGAAAAGTTCAGGCATCACACCAGATGTTGTTGTTGTTAAGTGCCGTTAAGTCAGTTCAGACTCACAGCAATTTTGTATGGGGTTTCTGTGTGGCTGATGGTTTGAACTGCCAACCTTGAGGTTAGCAATCTAGTGCTTATCCTACAGTGCCACACCAGGATTTCCTTCTGAGAAAAAAAAAAAGAATGTTGTTTATTGGTCCAGTACTGAGGATTTTTTGTTTTCTTTACATTGAGATGTAATCCATACCGAAGGTTGTATTCTCTGATCTTCATCAGTAAATGTTTTAAGTCTTCTTCACTTTCAGCAAGCAAGGTTGTGTCATCTGCATATCGCAGGTTGTTAATGAGTCTTCCTTGATGCCATGTTTTTCTTCATATAACCAATCTTGATGCCATGTTTTTCTTCATATAACCCAGCTTCTGGGATGATTTGCTCAGCATACAGGTTGAATAAGTATGGTGAAAGAATACAATCCTGTTACACACCTTTCTTAATTTTAAACCATTCAGTGTTCCCATGTTCTGTTCGAACAACTCCCTCTTGGTCCAGGTACAGATTCCTCATGAGTACAATTAAGTGTTAGGTAGCCAGTGTCTAAGCTGCCCATCTCTATCAACTGTGTGTACAGAGGGAATGGGAATGATTCTTGCTGTAAAGATTCTTTCCCTCTAGGTTGGTATTTTAAGCTACTACATCCATAAGTATAGGTCAAGTTCATCAGATTGTAGCAATTTACACTTGTTTTGTTTTTCCTCTTTTCCGAAGAACTGTATCTTGAACATTCTTGAAACGGAACTGCAGCCATGTTCTGTAGACTGATATATATTATCTTTTCCATGTAATTACATATTTTTCTTTATGAGTTTTAAAGTCTGCATAGTATTCCTTTGCTTAGATGAATCATAATCTGTTTACCAATTCACTATTGAGGGTACATATTTGTGTGTTGTTTTCACTATTAGAAATGAAGCTATGGTGAATGTCCTTGTGGGTAATACCTCAGATTCAAATGTCAATATCCACTCCCTGTCTCAAAGTCAAACTCTAATTTTAGGTTCAAGACCAACATCCTTATCAGAATACATATTAAAATATCAACACTTATCACAATGATTAGACTTTAAATCAATTTGATTAAAATCTAATGGAATAATCCTAAATATAGAAACAGTTGTATGAATTAAGGTGCTATTACAACATCATTCATATTTTTAAAATTTTAGTTTCTTAGTGAAGGAGTCCTGGTGGCACAATGGTTAAGCACCTGACTGTTAACTGAAAGTTTGCAGTTCAAATCCACCAGTGGCTCTTGGGGATAAACAACGTGGTGATTTGCTCCCATAAACACTTTAGGCTAGGATGCCCTCTGGGGCAATTCTACTCTGTTGTATAGAATCACTAGGAGCCAGCATCCACTCAAAGGCAGTGGGCTTGGGTAACCCTCCATTCCTATTCCTGCTTTCTTATACCATAGACACTTCTTCTAATGTATTCATACGGCTCACATGAAAACACACATACACGAAAGCACAAAGCAAGAACAGTTTCTTAGTGCTGGCATAACAAGATGTTAGATATCTTAGCGGATGGCCTTACTAAACTTGTTTTCTCATACTTTGTTGTTGCTAGGTGGCATGGAGTCAGTTCCGACTCACAGTGACCCTGTGCACAACAGAGCGAAACACTACCTGGTCTAGGCCATCCTGACACTTGTTACGTTTGAGCCCACTGTTGCAGCTATTTGTCCATCCATCTCGTTGGGGGTCTTCTCTTTTTCACTGACCGAGCATGATGTCCTTCTCCAGTTACTGGTCCCTCCTGGTAATAAGTCCTAGGTATGTATGAGAGACGAAGGAGCAATCTGGCCTTACAGTACAGGAGTTTGGATTCCAAAGTATATTTTTATAGAGACACAGTTTAATCCATAACAAATGGAATGGTTATATAGGTATGGCATACCTATCACAGGAAATACTATACAATAATTTAAATGATGATTATGAAGACTATGGTAACAAAGGGGACACTTGTTGTTAAGTGCCATCGAGTCAGTTCTGACTCAGAGCAACCCTACATCAGGTTTCTAAGGAGCAACTGGTGGGTTTGAGTCACTAACTTTGTGGTTCAAATTGACCTTGTGGCCCAGTGCTTATCCTTCAGTGCCACACCAGGACTCCTAGGGCAATATAAAGTGCAGAAAATAGAATATATTATATGTACATCCACATACACACACATTATGTTGCAAACATTAAAATAGGCACATGCAAATACAATGTTGAGCAAAAGACACCAGACACAAAAAGGCGCACATACGGTGTGATTCCATTTAAATCAAGTTCCAAAGCAGGTTGAACTTGTCTATGGTGTTAGAAGTCAAAGAGTGGGTACCCTTGGTAGTTTGGGAGACAGTGACTGGAAGGGGCACAGAGACTCCTGGGATCCTCCTAGTGGTCTGTTGATCTGGGGCTTGGTTACAGGTGTGTTCATTTTGTGACGATTCATCCAATAGTGCCCTGATGAATTCTGCCCCAATGACTTTTTTGAATACAAGTAATACTTTTATATAAAAAAAGAGCTGCAAATATTCATAGAAAGAAGGGCTGAGAAGAAGAGGAGGAGGAGATAGGAGACCATTATGGAGTCACTTGGGTTTTGTTTTCTTTCCTTCTTCCTGGGGAGTCTGAAGGATGAGATTTTAGTTCAGGATTTGTTAACGTCAGCTGGGTTATTCTGGGTTGTGGGAGGCTGTCCTGTGACCTGTAGGATGTTGAACAGCCATCCCTGGCTTCTAGCCACTCCATGTCTGCAGTACCTACCCTCCAGATACTGCCAAATGTTCCCTGGGGGCAGGGCTCCCAGACACAATCAAGAACGCCTATTTCCATTTCCATAGACAAAGGGAGAATTGTTTAGCACTAGTATGTCCCAAATATTGCATGGCACATACTTATACTAAACAATTATTCATTGTTTACCTTAAAATAGAAATGGGTGTCTTGGAAGGAAGAGAAGGAGGAAATGGGGAAGCCTTTATATAGTAACTTGGTTTTGTTTTCCTTCCTGGGGACTCCAGGGATGATACTTTTGTTAAGGAATTCTTAACCACAACTGAGTAATTCTGGGGTGTAGGAGGCTGTCCTGCGAACTGTAGGATGGGATGCTCCTCGGGGTCTGTTTCTTGAATCGTATGATAACTCAGTAACTATCTAGAGGAGGCGTCGTGTGGTGCTGTGGGTTAATGCACTGGACTACAAAGTCGCTTTGAACCGCAAGGTTGGAGGTTCAAGCTCACCAGCTGCTCCTTTGAAACTCTATACAGGGCTGCTACGGGTCAGAATTGTCTTGAAGGCACTTAACAACAAAAACCTGATCTAGAGGCAGCTGAGGGGCAAAAATCGTCTTCAGTTAAATACAAGTAGAATTATTTCCTTCCCTTATTGGTGCAAATGTTTATTTTTAAAACACACAGCTGCTAACCCAAAGGTTGGCAGAGATGTCTCAGAAGAAAGACCTGGTAATCTACTTCCAAAAAATTCAGCCATTAAAAAACCAAAGCAGAATCATTCCTATCTTACTGACAGTGATTTTCCACCCTGCACTTCCCCTCTCAACTATTCTGAGACATCTCAGCATGCCCCTGTAGTTCTCCTCACCCAGCAAGGACCAAGATCACTGGAGGACTTTGGAGGACACATGTCTTGGGCCAGACTGCAGTCTACCATCCCTCCTGATTCAGGATCTGAGACATGCCCGAGTGAACAACCTGCAGTCCAGTCTGGTCAGCACCTTCTCAGCTGAGTGGTACTGTTCATCACGGGGGTCCTCCCAACGACGTGTGCCAGCAAGTCTGCTCCACTTTGCAACCAAAATGTCTGCAATGGCTCCAAATATCCCTTCAAACAATTAGCTGATTTTCTGAAGAGGCGTGCATCCTCATGCATTTCCTTCTGAGGACCCCCTTGTTCTGGCAAATGCACCCCTAGGACTAACACATCCTACCTAGATGCATTCACACCCTTATAAACTGATGGGATGTTTTTGCCTTGTGATTCAAGCCGGCCTTGCGGTCCAGAGCATTATCCTGCAGTGTTACACCAGGACTCCACTTCCAGAAAAAAGATTCACATTTCAATTGTCTTCTAGACCCCAAGTCTCCAGAATAAAACTATAGCAATAGTAGTAATACTAATTCAATCATCTTAAAAATCATCATAATACTCATCATGTGTTTAGTATGCATCCAAAGCTGTTCTGAGCTCTTTACATTGATTAGCTCCCCTAGTTAACCTCACAATTACCTTATGTGATAGCATCAGTTAGTATCTCTATCTTATAGATGAAGAAACGGAGGCACAGAGCAGTCACGTTTTGTGCCCACGGCCACACAGTTTGGCCAGTGGTAGAGACCTAGACAGTCTATCCCCAGAGTCCACACTCTCGGCCTCTATGTTGTTGTTGTTGTTAAGTGCTTATCCTACAGTGCCACACCAAAACTCCATCCCAGGAACTATGCTATTGCTTCTGCTCAGGAGCTGACTGTGACACGTCCCCACACAGCCTTCAAGTGAAGATGGCCTTACTTTTATACAGGAAGTCTTCTCCCCTCGTGGTCATGTTCAATGAGAAGAAAGTGGTATCCCCCAAAGGGGTGGCTGTGGTCATCTTGATCCTAATGAGAAGAAAGAAGGAATTTTGTTTAAGATTAGAGTAAGCCTTAATATTCCTATATGATGCCTCCTTTGGATCTTCATTGGATAACCTGGAAAAGATTTAAGCAGGTAGCTTCTCTTGGTGGTGGCGGTGCTTATGTGCTGTGGAGTTAGTTCCAACTCATAGTAACCCCGTATAGGGTTTCTGAGTCTGTAAATCTTAATGGGAATAGAAAGCCTCTCCTTTCTCTGGTAGAACTGCTGGTGGTTTTGAACTGCTGACCTTGGGATTATTAGCAGCCCAATTTGTAACCACTACATTCCCAGACCGCTGTCAGCAGCACGTAAATAAAAAGCCTTTTACTAGTTACTGTGGGGAATTACACATAATACCTGACATTTGTAAAGAATTTCCATTTTTAAGGCTGAGTTCATTCAACAAATCACATTTCTCTGAAATATGTTTTATAAAGAATGTCTCAATTGATCTAGAAATTTTGGAAGGTAGATCATCATTTCCATTTTACTGATGAAACTGAAGCCCCAAAGCTCCCAGGAGCCCTCAAATTTCTCTAGAATTTAATCCAGAATGTCTGACTCCCGGGCCAGTGGGCCTTTTGCCACCCTGCACCAAGGCCTGAAATGGTGTTTTCTGTTTTCAACGGTTTGATAATCTAAGGGGACAAATATAACCAGGTAACAAAGTGAGTGTGGCTATTCAGCAGTGAGGGGTGTGAGCCACGGGGCTGTGAAGAAGGCTCATGGTTTGGAAGGCTAACAGGAGAGGAGAGAGAACACAAGCTGCACAGAGGTCTCGACAGGAAAGCATTCATACGTCTTGAGTTGAACACATGCTGACCAGGTTCTGCCCCAGGGATTTCACACACTTCTGTTAGTTCTCATCAAGTTGGACCCCAAGTGTGCAGAGAACTGCTTCATAGTATTTTCAAGGCTGTAACTGTCTGGAAGCACATTGCTAGACCTAACCTCTGAGGGGTCTCTGGATGGGTTTGAACCACCAACCTTTTGGTTTGTAGTCCAACACTTAACTATTTGTGCCACCCAGGGAACCTGTTCAGCCCTCTCAGTCACTGAAAAGTGAGGTTGCTACACTGTGCTGCTGAGCAAACTGAGGCTCAGAGTGTCTGAGTGGTCTGACCATGGTCACACAGCAGGCGGGCCTTAAACCAAGTCTCTTCTTTCCTCGACACACTAGGAACCATATTCCACAGTCCTATAATCTTTTAGTTGAAGGATGAGTCGGGCACTGCACCCTAAATAGGATGCTACAACAACAGAAAGATGTGTTGAAATCCTCCTCCAGTAATACATTCTAAGCACAATAATACGATAAAAAGTTGCCCTGACTGATGAAAGGAGATGGGGATAGGTCCCTTGTGGTACAATAGTGAATAGTTGTTATCAGGACTGACTGTGAGGTTGGTGGAAATGTAAAGGTAGATGTTTTGTAGCAAAAGGAGGGGGAGTGGTTGACTTCACAGTCCAGGAGCGGAGGTCCCTGGGAACATCAAGGGAGAAGAGCGGAGAGCGGGATCCTACCCAGAGAAGCAGTGATGCCTGAGATGGAGGCAGAGATGATGACGTGACGAGATGGAGCGGCTGGGGACTGTAGACCCAGAGAAGGAGAGGGGCTGTGTGCTGACGACCGGGGGGCAGGCTTTCAGGGTGTACCATTTGGTTGGTTGATGATGCATGGAGGGGATGGTAATCATGGCAATGAAATGATATATGATAAGATGAATGTAAAGCTAATGTTCTCCCATGTAAACTATCACATAATTCACAATAAAAACTAAAAAAAAAAAAAAGTTGCCCTGAATGACAAGGAGCAAGAAAAGAAAGAAAACCAAATCATGGTTGGCATCAATATTTCGGACAGACTCTTTTACTATGGCTGCTGACAACTGGGAGGTCCAGGAAGGAACCGCATGGTAAGAACTACCCAGACTTGTTTGTGATCCAGTCATCCTGGTGGTGCAGTGGGTTAAATGCTGAGCCGTTAGTCACAGGGTGGGCTGTTCAAACCTTGGTGCTCTGCGAGAGAAAGATAAACCCATCTGCTTTTGTAAAGATTTAGTCTCAGAAACCCTAAAGGGCCTCTTGATCTGTCCTATAGGGTCTTCCAGTCAGAATCAACTTGATGGCTTGGTGGCAAAAACAAAACAAAAACAGGTTGGTGGGTTTATAATCCTCATAAACATAAGGCTGTATTAGTCACTCCATATTCTGGAGAAGAGGTATTTTACACATTTGAAAAAATATTTTGGGCATACTTTTGTTTTCTTTTTAACAGTAAGATTATTATTTTTTAATTTAATATAATGTTTTAATTTAACAGCTAATGTATCTATGATTTAGATTTAACAGGCTTTACAGTCATAGTCTCTTCGGTTCTTTATTAAAGTAGAACCATTTCAGGCCGTTGTACCATTGGTACCTTATTCCAATGTCATTTCCTCTCTCTCGGTGACCCCTACCTTGATGTTAGTGCATATTCTTCTCATCGAAGGTTTCAGCTGTTCATTACATATGTAGGAGCCCTGGAGGCACAAAAGTGAAGCACTCGGCTGCCAACCAAAAGGTCGGCATTTTCAGGGTTCGTTAGAGAAAGACCTGGAGATTTGCCCCCATAAAGATTACAGCCTAGGAAACCCTATGGGGCAGTTCTGCTCTGTCACATGGGGTCACTATGAGTGGAAATTAACTAGAGGACGCCTAAACAACAATGATGACCTATGTTGTTATTGTTGTTAACTGATGTTGTAGAGTTACCCCAACCGATTCCAGTTTTGAATCATGAGTAGCCTCTGCATATTCAAATCCTGCCTGAGTAGAAAAGTTTTAAGTAGGAACTTTCTAAGTTGCTCCTCCCCTATTATTTTTACTTCTGTCAAACAGCTTACGCATACACCCAACGCCTGGTCTCTCAAGATAACTGTCCCAGCTGATGAACCCCTAGCCCCACCCTAATGGCTTATGCATATACCTTACCCCTGGTCTGTGCAAGATAATGTCTGACTGCCTATGTATAAATACTCTTTAAAAAATTGGGTTGGGGCTGCAGGTTTTCCCGTGCTTAGGGAGACTGTAGTCACTGGCCAGCTAATAAAGGCTTCCTTGCTGATCCCATGAGTCTTGAGTGGTCATATCTGTAAACTGAGGCACAACAATGTTGAGTCGGTTCTGACCCATAGCAATCTTGTATAGGGTTTCCAATGAGCAGCTGGTAAGCTTGAACCACAGATCTTGTAGTTCAAACTGACTTTGCAGTCCAGTCCATTAACCCACAGCGCCACACCAGGACTCCTGACTCCCTTAAACTTAGTGTCTGCCTTCATATTTCCTGAACAAATGTTAATGGAGCACCTACTATGAAGCCAACTGTATGCTCAGTGCTGGGAATGCACAGGTGAGGTAAGAGTCAAACTCCTGGATTGTGGAGGCCTATGCTGTAGGAGTCCTGATGTGGTGTTGTAGGATAAACACTGGACCACAAGGTCGACTTGAACAAGGTCAGGGTTCAAACCCACCAACTGCTCCTTGGAAACAGTATACAGGGTCGTTATGAATTGGAACTGACTCGACGGCACTTAACAACAACAATGTTCTAGGGAGAAAGGCAGTTCTGGTAGCATACTGTATTATGAGTTGGGCTGCTAACCACAAGGTCAGCAGTTAAAACGCATCAAGTGCTCCATGGGAGAAAGATGAGGCTGTGTACTCTGGTAAATATTTACAGTCTCAGAAACCCTAGGGAGCAGGTCTGCTCTGTCCTCTAGGGTCGCTGTGAGTCGGAATCAACTTGATGAGAGTGGGTTTTGGTTTGATTCTAGTGAGAGCGAGAGAGATCGTAGGTTTGAGCATGTCATTCCTGGGCTCATAAAAACAGCCAGTGCCTCCCCCTTACCCACAATTCTGTATCTGGGAGTGAAAGCTCTTCATCAGCTATTTCCACCCTCTATGTCCTGCCTCTCACAGCAACCTCCACCAAGCTGCTGTCTCAGTGGACCCCTCCATCTTCCCCCAGCATTCTGTCTGTCCCCTGCCCAGCTACCCAGAGTGGGGCTCTCCTATGGGCTTCAACTCCTGATGGAAACTAGACCAGTGCTTCACCAGAGCCACCCACTGGCATTAGGTCATGCTGCACTCAGATGGGGGCTCTGGTAGCTGTGGACTGTCCTAGGAGCCTTGCTTCCTCAGAGTGACCCTCTGGCCTGGCCCTGTTCATCTTTACCTTCTCTGTTCTCCTGTAAGTCAGGAACCCTTCCCAGAACCCACCTTGCTCTTGGCTATCTCCTTCTTCCGAGAGAAGCTCCTCAGGTCTCCAACAAGGAATGACAGGTCCCTGGAACCCTGTGTGGCTCTCCCTGACCTCTCCATTCCTACCCCTCCCTTTCTTTCTGAGGCTTCCCATCTTCCAACCCCCTTAACCAGGGAGCAGACAGTCTCATCTTTCTCCTAAGGATGGCTGGTGGAATTGAACTGCCAACCTTGAAGTTAGTAGTTCAGCACTTATGCTACACTGCCACAAGGGTGAGTGTTAATAAATATTCATGGAACTAAATTAGAGACAAGTGGACTGAAAGCTCACAACAAGGAAATGTCTTTCCATAAAAGTAAGTATAAACTCAAGGCTTTGGAACTTTGAATTGGTACATATTCATGGTGTGTGAAAAAGCATGAATTCCTACTGTGTGACCTTAACCAGTTATGTGCATGCACAAATAGGATGTCAAACTTGTCATCAAATCATCAAACTGATTTTAGATGTCTTGTGTTCTTTGCTTTTCAGTTTTCTATAATGCACATATTTTAAACGTTTAAAAAGAGAGAAAAATGTTACTTTAAAAACCTGCATGGAATACCCATTGCTTATAGAATAAAATCAATGTGTTCACACACACACAAAAAGTATGTATGAGCAGATATAAGAATTTGGAATGACGGTTCCACCCATCTCCCCACCCTATCCTTACTCTCAAGAAGAGATGCCC